TGTACGATTTTATGCGCTGTGCGTCGGCGTAGCTAACGTGCGATGTCGGTATTACGTGGGGGATAGCATCAGTGGTGTCCCCGTCTGAGCGATAGTTGGCGATGATCATAGCAGCACCTCCTGCTTTCTTCACGTTTTCTCCTTTCTCGATCAAGTCGACGTTGCCATTGTCGCACACAACGACTTTTCCTCGGACGTCGACGCTGTCAAGTGAGCTGTTCGAGCAGAAAGTGGCTGATAGATTTAGTAAGCTTGGGTACACCAGCGGAAGCGGCGAACGAGAGAAGTTCGATGGCTGATAAGCTGACTGCCCATCAAAGCTCACCTTGTTGCCGAGCTCGACCATCGTCCGAATGGATCGGTCTGTGGTGCTCGCACCAACGGTTAGAATCCATGGCGCCTCGTTTGACAGAGTGGAGTAGCCAGGGCCATCGTTCCCCGCTGCAAAGCTAACAAAGATGCCACGCTCGACAGCGCTGAACGCGCCAATGGCCATAGGGTCGCTATAGTAAGGCATGGACGTCCAGACGATGGAGAGCGACATGATGTCGACTCCGTCATCGACCGCAGCATCCATCCCTGCCAAAATATCCGAAGTCGCGCATTCTCTGTCGCGAACACACTTTATAAAATAGCAAGATGAGGGCGGGAGCGGTGGCCATGCACCAGGGCAGCGTTCCATTGGCTTGAGCCGACAACATTCTATACAGTCCATTCGCGTTCTCCTGACCGAATATTCCCGTGCAGCAGCCGTGCTTGCCACATGCGTCCCATGTCCCTCGACATCGTTCGGTCCATCTGCTGCCGTATCAGTCGCAGATGAACTCATGCTACTCGATCCTTTGATGAAGTTTCGGGCGCCGATGATCTTGTTGTTGCAATCCGAGGCGTTGAATTCACAAACACCCTTCCATTTTGCTGGCGGCGGGGGCATCCCGTCGTCGCTGAAGGACGGATGGCTCGGCAATATGCCCGTGTCAAACACGCCGATGATGACGCCCTTGCCATAGCCGGAGTGATTCCAGAGCCCCGGACGGTCACGGTGCAGGCCCAAGAAATAGGGCGTGTGCGTGGTCTGCAGCCTTGCCATACCGTCAGGATACGCGTGCAGAAAGCCTGGTTTTTCCTGCAATCCAGCGAGTTCTTGCTCGGTAAATCTGGCTGCGAAACCGGTAACGATGTTCTTGTACGCGTAAAGTATCCGAGACTCGGTAGCTGAGCTCGCGGCAGTTGACGGAGGTAAAAACGTTTTGTACCATTTTTTGAGGTTGTCGGAGTAGGAAGAAGATGAAAGAGAAGCAGTTTCGGGGGGAGGTTCGACGTGAACTATGTATGTATGTAAAGTATCATCGATGCTTGAGGATTGAGCAGATGCTGGAGATAGATGATGAGTTATGAGAAGAAGGAAAATGAAGGAAAGGGACATGTTAGAGATGATATTGAGATGGAAATGACTGAATGGTGGTTTTTTGTGAATTAAATTTGTGTGTGTGTATATATATATATAGAGAGAGAGAGAGAAATTCTGCCGAATAGTTGATCCTCTCGTAGCTAGGTTTTGTTTTTGCAAGATGCTCATAATGATAACGTGTAGAAAGAAACGGAGAATGCATACAATACGAGGGTCAACTGTTTGTAGTTACAATTTATAAAGTACGGTCGCGTCCTTCTGTTGTTTTAAGTTCGTTCCGTTCAAAGCATTTACGTAATATTTTGAGAATTTTGACAATTCTGAAAGTGACCACTCGGTTGTAGAAATGGCAGGACTCAGGTAGACAGATTGGCGGTCGACCGCGTTCGTGCACTAGACTTACTGGGCGTCAGGATTGGTGACGGTCGACCGCGACGGTCGACCGCAGAAGTTTCTGTTCTGTGGGCGGTCGACCGCTGTGGTCGACCGCAGAAGTCTCTGGACCATTGGGGCTGTTCTGGATTGAGGGCGGTCCTTAGCGGTTTTGGGCTGGGTCTGTTTTCCAGACCCGTTTCGTTTGGGTTTTCTATAAATACCCAAACTCGATTCTAGGGTTTGTAAGGCATGTGTTTTGAGCTGTTGAAAGGAGTTTTCTTTGGGCTTCTATTCTATGAGCAATTGGTGAGATCAAGAGTTGATTTGTTGAGGGTTTATGAGAGATTTGTAACCCTAGTTGTATCCCCTTGATTTCTAATAGTGAAAACTCCCCCCTCCTTACCCCATTGACGTAGGCATCTCGCCAAACCACGTAAAATCTGGTGTTTGATTGTTTGTGCTCTTGTTGGTGTGTTGGTTTATCTCTTTCGGCTATTTGGTTGGATCTCGGCATAGGGGTTTCTCCCCAACATCGGCGACCCTCTATAACAATCGGCTGTGAATAATAATCAGGGTTATGGGTAGAAATCCTCACCATTCTTATGACGGACACCTTCTATTCATCAATTACATCTTACTCAGTGGATCCTATGAATAATATTTATTATATAAATTATATATATAATTATTTTAATTATGGAGTCACTAAATGAGCTAATATTATTAATCCACGTTACCAATTCTAGAAATTCTCTATAATCAATAATGTAGAGAATCATTACCGGTTATTCTCTTCGTATGATGTAGGGTGTTAGGTAGGTCTAAGTTAACTACCAAGTTTTAATTGTATCTCATAACCATAGCTAATTTTGATTTTATCATTCATTCAATATTTAGATTTCCATAGGATTTGTTTTCTTGACTAAAATTTACCCTCCAACTAATTGAAGAACCTAACTATAATTTTCTCATATTTTGTTAAATTGCTATAATTATTGCCATAAACTACTAATTAAACTATCTTTAATTAATTAAATTTTCATATCAACCCTTCTCTCGGCAAAGTGCTTCTAACTATCTTTATTACTTCAGCTAGTTCATACCGGATTCGGATCCTCTCTACTACAAAAAAAACAGTGGAGGGACCACTACATAATCACGGCCATTGATTATCTAATTAATGGTTGTAATTTTTTCTTTGGATTCGGATCCTCTCCACTACAAAAAAAAATAGTGGATGGACCACTACATAATCACAGCCATTGATTATCTAGTTGATGGTTATGATTTTTTCTTTTAGTGAAAATTAGGAATGAGTGCAATACACGGGGTTATGGTAAGTGTTAGATTTAGATTGTATCATAACCACCTACTAAATAATCAACGCTTGATGTACATAAAAGTTACAAATTTGCTGATGTACATAAAAGTTACAAATTTCGTTTAGATATCCCAATGAACTCTTTTCACTTTATGTCCTAAAAGCTAACACTATTAGGTCTAACATATCAAATGACAAGTAGATGACCAAGAAAAGATTAAAATACCCCTTAATTATAAAAAAATTACTCTGATTTTTTTAGGATAGGAGAAAAGGAGGAGAAAGAGGGAAAAAACATTACAAATTAAAAATAGTTATTTTTTTACCAGTTGGAGGTTCCCTGTAGTTGGATGGTTTAGTTCAGTTATTTTATATGTTGAAATGATGTCAGTGGGTTTGGTAAGAAAAGTGTGAAAGATTAGATGGTTTTATGAGACACCCTCTAGTTGAGGGAGGTTTTCTCTAATTTTTAACGTTGAGTATATCTATAATATGCCCATACTAAGGGGTTTTTTTCCAATTTAAAATTGTTGAGAATGATTTTTTAAGACATCCACCATATTTGATGGGAGGAGGGGCAAAGCCTTCTAAAAATAGTCCTAATATTATATGCAGAACTATGCCTATTTCAAATTATATTAAAATTAGTGACTTAGTCTTCCTCTTAAAACATTATTCATGATTTTTATTGTTTTTTATTGATTTGATATCACGTCTTTACTGTTTTTTGTAAAGAAAGGTTACCGGTTCACTCGTGCATCTCTTTAAAATAGTAACAAAACACAAGACACCATAAAAAAACATATAACATATAAATATTTATAAAATTTAAAATTTTCCTATCACAAAGATACTTCCTATGGTCTAAAAAACTAAATAAATTATTTACATAAATTATCCAAAATATTATCTTGAATTCTTCCTACTTTATTCTATTTTTTTCTAATAATTTGATTAAAATTCTGATGGATTCTTAATATTATCCTAGGAATAAATATTTGGATTCTTAATATATTTTAAAACCACGTATACCTTTTTAATAAGTTAAAATTATAATGCAAGAATCACAAGATTAATGTTTAAGCATGATGTTGTTTAGAATAAATAAATACGTGAATGCCATATATCTCATATAACCACGATATTTTATTTAATTGTCTCATGTTATTGGGTTTAACTTAATATATTCTTTAGTTCATATTGTTTGTCGGAAATTTTGCAATAAGAAAATGAATGAAAGAATTGTGTTTGACTTTATTCTCTCTAACTGTTTAGAAAAAGAATGATTACAACTCTCTCTACTCTCGATTACAATTTGAATTCCTGATTACAAAAGAGAAGAGAATGATCTGATTCTCTCTTTTGTTTAATTCTGGGTTCTTCACGGTGGCGATGAGATGCCTCTCTCGAATGCTCGCGTCGAGTTTGCTTCACGATCCGAATATCTATGCTCACTGGAACAACGATCTTGTCTGGTTGATAACTCTTGACGAGTTTTATGATTCAGAACGAATAACAAACTCTGATAAAAAGAGTTGTTTGAACCGAAAATGATTCGGTTAATAAGCCAAGTATCTAACGTCTGGATCCCTCAATGGATGTTGATTCCCCAGACTGTATAAAGAGTTAATTCTCCAACTCTCTCTCTAAGATCCTCTCCAGAAAATCTGATCTCCGATGATATCTCGTCTCTGCTAACTCTGTTGAGTTTGTTGATATTTATAGGGGGATTAGGGGTATAACTGCCCCCATAATCCGCGCCTAAATGGGGGTTTAGTTACCCCATTAATCGGGTGTAACAACCCACGTAAGCCACTCCTCAAATCGTGGGTGAAGAGCGGTTTTCGAAACTGCCTGGATCGTGTTTGAACAGGTCAGAACTTTGACATGCGTTCTGGCCTAAATTCTGTGTTTGAACGCAGCATCTGGAGGTGCGTTCTGCAGCGATATTGAGCTGCGTTCTTCGATGTTTGAAGGTGCGTTTGGCAACAGTATAGAGCTGCGTTCGACGATGTTTGAAGGTGCGTTTGGCAGCAGTATAGAGCTGCGTTCGACGTCGGTTGGAGCTGCGTTGGGCATGTGCTTAGCAGCGATTAGAGCTGCGTTCGAGCTGTGATGATGAGCTGCGCTCGAGCTGTGCTTGGCAGCGATTAGAGCTGCGTTCGAGTTGGCAGCGGTTGATGAGCTGCGTTGGGCAGCGATGGAGCTGCGTTGGGCAGCGGTTGATGAGCTGCGTTGGGCAGCGATGGAGCTGCATTGGGCAGCGCTTGGCAGCAATTAGAGCTGCGTTCGAGCTGTTTGTTAAAGCTGCGTTCGAGCTGATTGTTGAAGCTGCGTTCAGGTTTCTCTGTCTTTATATATGGATGACACCAATGACCAGTAAAGGAGGTCTTATTCAGGCCATTTGTGACAATTGAGGCATCTCAATAACGCTCTATCAACTGCAGGTCACGATCTCCACTGAGATTTCTTTGCATGATTTAACCATGTGCTCCTCGGTGTGTCGAATATCATTACACTGCTCATCAACACCTCTAATAGTTACTAATATAATATTAGTCATGTTGTTGTCGCAGCCATCAAGATCAATCATCTCACATAAGCAGTTGTATCTTTGTTTGCAGCGGTTGAAGCTGCGTAGGTAATCAAATTGGTGTTGTGTCTTGAAGATGGTACGTAGGGAGGACTTCCACGTCTTGGTTTGAAGAGATCGTCGATTTGTAATCTCTTTCTGTCAGAGTGTTGCTAAAGATAACCTTCTGGAAGTCGTCAGATTGTAACTTCCATCATCAGTGTTTGATGGGGAATCAGCTATCTTTTTTAGACAGTCTACAGAACCCCCTCCAAAGTTTTCGAAAGTTCGCGGTTGACTGAGACGAATTTTCGAAACACTTTGGAACCCAAAAATTTTGTTGATCAAATGTATCTTATCGCAGATGGAGTGGAGCATCTTTGTTAACTTCTTCATTCTCTTTTGGTTCATCCGTAATGACTTGGGCTTAAGCTTGTTTGACTAGTTTCATCATCTTCAGGGGATTTGGACATTTCTGGGTTTAAGACAGATCTGTCGTCATAGATGGAGAAAACCACAAGCCTGTATCAGAAGGACTTCATCCCCAGCTTAGTCAGGAGACTGGCTTCAGAGGAATTCACTTTATCTTCTCTCTTGATCATCTTGTCTGGGGTCATTGCTTGGAATATTAACCTCTTTGAAGGGGTTAATTACGTGATAGCCTGAGATTGGCCACCAGAACGCATGTCTAAATTACGCGTTCTGCTGTTTGAACGTGAGGGTGCGTTCGGAAATCAAAACCCCCTT